CCCTTGCCAGAACTCTGAGATTGGATCTTGAGGTTGCCCTTACAGTACTCTGGAGGCTGGTACCTAGACACAAATGTATAACTAGTCTAAGTGTTTAGCCACAATGTTCTCTTCACTAGCGCAGCAGGAAGGCTTACCTCAGTACATTGAAATGCTGAGGGCGCACTCACAAGTGAATCTACTGTGAAAGTAAACCCAAATATAAACACGTTCACACTCCTCATAATCAGCTTCTCAGTGTGTGAACTGCCAACTAGTAAAACCAAAATGCCGCGTTGATGCACTGCCAAATAATAGCCAAATCTAAAATCCAAAACCCAAGCACAACTTGTAAATGCACTGCCAAGCAAGAAGTGTGGAACCAAAGTTCTCAAGTCAACACACTGTCAACTGACCAAAACTACCTGAGCACAACTAGTCAACACACTGCCAAGCTAGAGGTGTGGAACAATCTCAACAAAACCCCAAGCAACAACACAAAGTGCCGCAATAAAACCAGAATGTGACAATCAACCAAAAACAATAGTCGAAAAGAGAAGTGAATTCGAAGACTGGAGAATACAACCAAGTAGCTACAGTATTTATACCCAAATCCAGTCTGAGTCATATCTACAACTAATGAGTCACGAGGCTATGTACCGCATGGAGCACTGGTCATGGGTTGTAATAGAACCTTCTGGAGCATATGTCGCGCAGCCTCGAATCGATGAAGATAATCCCTGGAACCCCTAGCCCGGTCCGTCTGATGCCGTGATCCGTGATAAGATAAGTTGTGCCAAGATAAGATAAGATCGTCGATGATAAGATGAAAAAGTGGTCGAACTATGACATTACCCCTTCTCTAGGGTCGATGTCCTCATCGACTAGGCCAATGGGCGTGAAGATGTTCTCGTAAGGATTGAAGAGCTGTCGTTGGGGATATGGAAGGCGCTTGTCCCTGGGCTTGTAGCGATGAATGAGATAGTCCCAGTGTCCAGCTTCGAGCGTTGGCAGGAGGCGAATGCATGTGTCTGGATTTGATTGTTTCCTCTGCCAGTCTCTCAGGACGTCCTTTGCGTGGGTAAGGTGACGTGATGGTTCCCAGGTGTTCTCGCTGTGCGGCCATCCCTTCCATTTGACCAAGTACTGTTTTCCTCGGCCGACTTTTCGTTCTTTCACGATTTCTTCGACTTCCCACTCCTCTGCTCCTCCGATCATCTTGGCTACGGGTCTCTTCTCTCGGCGATGGGGGGGTGGTTCATGATAAGGTGTCAATAGTGACTCGTTGAACACCGGGTGTCTTCGGTCCGTGTCCGGCAAATCCAGCTTCCATGCGGCCGCTCCAACCTTCTCCAGTATCTCGTATGGTCCCAATCTCTTGTCGCTCATCTTCTTTGATGGTCTATCTGTCTCGATATTTTCCCCTTCTATGTACACCTTCATCCCAACCTTCGACTCCGGAACTTCTTTTCTTTGTTTATCGTAGTATTTTTTCATTTTTTCATTTGCTTTTTCCAATGCTGCTTTTGCTTCGTCTTGTATTTCTTTGATTCTTTTTACAAATTCCTCTGCCGACTCGTTCCTTGATTCCATCCTTTGCTCCACTCCCTTCCATGGGTGATATCCGTGATTTGCATAGAACGGCGACATCTTGGTAGACGTGTTCATTTTGTCATTGTATGCGAACTCCACCATTCCCAGCCACTCCGACCAATCCGTCTGATGGTAGTTGACGTAAATGCGGAGATAGTGTTCGATCTCCTGATTCATGCGTTCGGTTTGTCCATCCGTGATCAGGTGATGTGCGGTCCCCGGGTTCATTTCCACGCCCAACATCCGATTCGTCTCCTTCATGAAGCCCTTGATGTAACGCGAGTCCCTGTCGGTGATGATCTTGCGAGGGATCCCATGGTAGCGGAAGACTCGGTCCCTGGTTAACCGTGCGACTCCTTCACTGCTGATGTCAGTACTAATTGGTTCGACATGGATCATTTTGGTGAAGGTGTCACACCACACATGGATTGCGTCATACCCATTACTAACCGGCAGGGGTCCGATTTGATCCATCGAGATGATTTCCCACGGCGCATTTGGAACTGCATGCGGGTGTAGAGTCCCTGTCCTCGCTCTCCTGGTCTTGGTCCGTTGGCACGCCTCGCACGTCTGGATGTATTTCCGAATTTGGTTTCCCATCCTGGGCCACCAGTAGTTTCTTTCCACCATCTCCTGCGTTCGGTTGATCCCAGCGTGTCCGACCAACGGGGTGTCATGGTGTAATCCAATGATCTTGTCTCGTAACTCCTCATCTCTTGGTACATAGAGCTTCCCATGATACGTGATAAGCCCCTCTTCCTTCTTCCATCCGACGAGTGACTTCTCCAAGGCCGCCTTGACACTCCCATCAATTGATCGAATGGCCTTGATTTCATCGATTAGCTGCTGATCCTGTCCCTCGAATGTGACTTCTTGTGATCGGAAGAACTCGGGCTTCAGTAGCGTGACGTCCTTGTTGTTGTTCTTGCCCTGATCGTGATCCGCTCGTCGAGACAGGAGATCCGCCTTGCGGTTGAGTGCGCCGGGTCGGTGTCGTAAGGTGAAATCAAACTCCGCCAGCTCCGTGATCCATTGTGCTTGTCGTCGATTGAGCTTCTGCAGCTTTCGGAAGTACTCGAGATTCTGATGATTGGTGAAGATCTCGAATGTTTCCGTGGCTCCCAGGAGCAGTTGCCTCCATTCATCGAGTGATAACATGATCGCGAGCATTTCCTTGTCGTAGATCTCATAATTTCGCTCGGTTTCGGTCAATGCATGCGAAATAAATGCGATTGGGCGCCAAATGCCGTCTTGGTTTTGGCTCAAAACTGCTCCTGTTGCCCCTTCCGAAGCATCGGCTTCCAGATGATATTGGCCGGTGTCATTTGGCAGTGCTAGGACCGCATCCTCTGCGATTCTTTTCTTCAATCCATCGAATGCCGCATGTTCCTCTGTACCCCATGACTCGCCGATAGAAGTTTGTGAATCCGAGGAAGGCTTGGACCTGTTTGACGCTCTTTGGTTCTGGCCATTCCATCACGCCTTTGATCTTGACTGGGTCCATTCACATCGAATTGTGTCCAATAATTACACCCAAATATTCGATTTCCGTGCATTCGAACTCGCACTTTTTGGGTTTCAGGTACAGCTTGTGTTTTTGGAGCAATTCGAGTACTCGCTTCGTGATCTGCCGATGTTTGTCCAAGGTTTCTGTGAAGATTTGTATGTCATCAAGATAAACTACCACGTGGCCCTCATTGATCAGTTCTCGGAGTATGTTGTTCATCATATTTTGAAAGGTTGCCGGGGAATTTGTGAGACCGAAGAACATGACCAAGGGCTCGTACAGTCTGCGGTTCGTGCGGAACGCAGCCTTCCACTCGTCGCCCTCTTTGATCCGTACGTTATTGTATCCCCACCGGATGTCGAGCTTGGTGAAGAACTTTGCACCGCATAGATTATGGACCAGTTCGGAGATCAGCGGCAGCGGGTACCGATTTCGGATTGTCATTTTGTTCAGCTTCCGATAATCTTGGACGGGGCGTAGCGAGCCATCCTTCTTTTTGACAAAGAAGAACGCTGATGCCATGGGTGATTTGGAAGGCCTGATCCGTCCGCTGGCCAGGTTCTCTTGTAAGAACTTGTCGAGTTTAACCTGTTCGTTTCGTGATAACGGGTACACCTTGCAGTCCACTGCTTTGGAACCAGGTTTGAGCTCGATTGCATGGTCCCATGCCCGTTGGTCTGGCAGCGAGTCAAACGATTCCTTGGCGAATACTTTGACAAATTCCCGATATTGATCCGGAATCTTCCCCTCGGTCATTCTCTCCTTCTCTTTTTCCGCTTCTTCTGCGAATTTCTGCGCCGGCGTTTCCTTCAACCGTAGATCCACCTCCTTCCCAAAGTCGATCAACAGGATTGACTCTCCCTCTTCCAGATCCGGTGCACCTGTGTCCAGGTCAATTGCATCCATGTCGATCATTGCTTGATGCTCCTCGTGACCCCTCATGTGACACCGCTCTGTCAGGGGACGCCGCGCTCCTTGGGCACGTGACCATGCACGTGACCCACTGCACCCTCTCTGCCGACCCGTGCCTGCTCACCTGTCAATCACCCAGCCTCCTCCTCCTCCTCCGATCCTCATCTCCATCCATGCCGACATCCGCCCTCTTCCTCCTTCCCCTGGCCATCTCCCTCGAATCCCCGCAAGCGGTCTAGCCAAGCCCGATTCCTTGCACCAGGGAGTGCTACTGCCGTACGCACTCCTCCCCCTCTACTTCGGCCTTCTCCCCACGGATGTGGTCTACTGCCGTACAGGCTCGTACCAGATGCCTTGCGCTCATCCGCACCACCCCTCTTCCTAGTCGGGCATTGGTCCTCGCCTCCGATGCCTCCACTGGCTGGCCCGGCACTGGCCTGGCCACTGGGCTCCTCCAGTGTGGCCTTCCACTGTTGGTGTCTCAGGAGCTGGCCATCACTGGCCCCTCTGAGCCACTCACTATCTTATCTGGGTTTGTCATTATCTACTTGTCATCTGCCATTGTTCCATGGCAGTGATATCCCATCATCATCAGTCACTTGTCACAGCTGACTACTGTACTATTTCGACCGTAGATTCGTGTCATCGGTCATCGGGGGTGTCGAACCGAACCTAATGTCAGGTTGTCATCGGTCATCCGCGGCCTCGAAGCTAATGACATTTCGAAAAAGAAAATCGTCATATTGAGTGACTTTGAGCGCAAAAATTGATAGTATGAGTCTAAAATGAGCTTAATCAGTGTGATCGTGTCAAATCTAGGCTAGATTAGTTCTAATATGACAATCAATCGCATTTTAGCCCAAAGACAGCTTCAATTGGGTGCATTCCCTCGTGCCTTATCAGATCCGGGCGCCGCCAGTGCCTGACATCACAACGAAGCTATCTGACAGCTGTCATCGGTCATCCCGGACCTCGAAGCTATGCACCATCGAATCTAAGCTGTCATCGGTCATCGGGTCGAAACTACGGTCGAAATAGTACAGTATATAGTGTGACACCTGGGCACATGGATCCTTGAACCGTTCTCTAAGGATCCCCCTCTGTGCTCAGACTCATGTGAGGTTGTTGTGTGCTGTGTGCTCTCTTCCTTCGGGCTGGCAGGAGTTGCCCTTACACGCTCTGGGCATCGACTGAACTTCATCGTCTGCTCCTGCCAATCCACCTTGGGGTTGTGTTCCGTCAGCCAATCAAGACCGATGAAGATCCGAGCTTTCCCTAGGCACGTCAGAAGGAATGTGTGTGTCTCCACATGAGGACCAATTCTCATCCTTAGGTCAATGTAATGCGTGATCCGACCGCTGATGTTCTTGGTGTTGTCGGCGTTACAAGCCACGATGGGTTGCGGAAGCTCTTGGATATCCAGCTTCTCTGCCCGCGCGTAGTCGGTATCAATGCAGCAGGTGCTACAGCCACTATCGAGTAGTGCCTTGACTCCGCACGTCTTTCCTGAGTCCAGGCCCGTGATCTGGACATACACATCCATCGAATGTCTCTTCCTTTCGGCCTGGTAGTTGCGCAGTTCCTGCGCCAGTCTGCTGGGTTGCGGGCCCTTCTGTCTCTCGGCTGCCCATTTCCTTTGAACGGCATCTGGCACCCTCGTGCATTTGGGTGCTTCGGGAACCCTGATTTCGGCAGATTCCTTGGGCGCTTCCTCCTTTTTCAAGGATTGAGCCTCCGGAGCGATGCTCCCCTTTTCGGTCTTTGTTGACGTGGTTCCTTCTCCACGAGCCTTAAATACGTAGGAGTCCAAAATTAATTTATCCGCAGCTTTCTGATCCTTTTTACTCTGTAAATACTCTCTATTTAAAGCTATTTTTCTTTGACGTTCTTTTTCCATATCAGCGACGAGAAAATCATGAATATCAGTATGTAGTGAGTCTGAGATTGTGTATGTATGAGGAGAATCATTCATATCTTTAATTGAAACAAGTACAGAAAAACGTCCATAGTCTGGATGCTCCACCTCCTTGGCTAGAGGAGTGGAGCGCTTCAAAAACCCTTCTCGCGCAGCTTCTCGGCAATCTCCTTGAGGAACTCGTTGTCCTTGTCCCCGTTCTCGATCTCTTCAAGCATCGTGGCCCGATTGAAGAACGTGCGCTTCTTCTTGGGCTCCGGACAGTTCCGCGCAATGTGCCCAGGCTGCTGACAGTTGTAGCAGATGATATTGCGGCCGCGGGCGTGGGTGCGATCGATTTCCATCGGAACCGGTTCGTTGGCCGCTGGTCGGGCCGGAGCAGGTGCAGGTGCTGATGGTGCAGCCTGAGGGCGGAATTGGGCAGGGGGCCGCAGAGTTGAGTGCGCATAGGATGCCTTACGCAGCTGATCGCGCAAAGCATTGGCCTCAATGTTGACGCACCAGTTCTTGAAGGCACCATATGCCTTGGGCAGGGGAACACTGGTGTTTTAGAGGCGGCTTGCAATTTCGCTGCTGAATCCGCGCTCCAGAAACTCGATGAGGATATTGTCCTGATCCCCCTTCTTGTACTCGCCCTTGCTGTAGGTGGAGGTGACCACGTTGTACCCCGCGTCTGCAGCCAGCATTTCAAAGTCGGAGATGTAGTCCGCAAAGGACCGTCTGCCCTGGCGAAGGGCCATGAGTCGGGCGGCAGCGACTTGCTCTGCGTTAGAATCCCCAAAGGCCCTCTGGAGCTCCTCCAAGAAGCTTGTCGCGGTGACTCCCGCCTTCAGTCCTTGGAAGCCCTCGAAATTGTGCTGCTTCCAGTTCATCGCCCATCTTGAGGCGGCGCAGCTTGTGCCGCTCTCATTGCGGAGGTAGGACAGGACAAAGAGGATTTTTGTCTCGTCCAGCGAGAACTCTGACCGATAGGCACCGATGTAAGTGGTGCACGCGTCCACAAAGCCCAGGTATTTGGACTTGTTGCCATTGAAGTAGGGGGGATTGGCGGCGAGGGTGATGCGGTGATGTCCTGACATGGTAGGAGCAGGTGCGGTAGGTGGGGGCGAGGGTGGTTGTTTGGAGGGTAACTTGCCAAGATCGGGGAACTCATCTTCAGGCGGCGGAAGGGCGAGGTAGGGGTTGGAGGGCCCGGGTTGGTTTTGATGCGCCAGATCGGGCGACGATGGTATGATGGGGGGAGGGGATGGACTCCCAGATGACGATGGCAATCGGTACAAAATGGTGGATTCGTGTGCTGTACAAGCACTCGAGGAAAGGTTCTTTTGCTAGCAAAAAGATCCCGGGCCTAGCTCTTCACGTGCCCGATGATCCCGAGGTGCGTTTTCCCGAAGGTCTCCGCAGCACTCCTTGTAGCTACCGTAAGGCTTGGGTCGGGCTCAACGTTACCCCTGGCCTGGTGCTGTTTGCTCGATATGAACCTTTCACTGCGATCACAGCGAGCGACTAGATGATTCGGTAAAAGGGTGAGTGGGATGATAAAGGTGAAGAGGATATAGCGGGCGTAGCGGTGCAGGGAGCAGGGTAGGAGGTAGGAGGTACAAGGGTATGAGGGGAGTCTTCGAATTATGTGACAATCAACCAAAAACAATAGTCGAAAAGAGAAGTGAATTCGAAGACTGGAGAATACAACCAAGTAGCTACAGTATTTATACCCAAATCCAGTCTGAGTCATATCTACAACTAATGAGTCACGAGGCTATGTACCGCATGGAGCACTGGTCATGGGTTGTAATAGAACCTTCTGGAGCATATGTCGCGCAGCCTCGAATCGATGAAGATAATCCCTGGAACCCCTAGCCCGGTCCGTCTGATGCCGTGATCCGTGATAAGATAAGTTGTGCCAAGATAAGATAAGATCGTCGATGATAAGATGAAAAAGTGGTCGAACTATGACACAGAAGCGGTGAATCCGACTTTCTGATATCTCAACTTAAACTCAAATCACAGTAGCTACAAGTGTTCAGGGAGCAACTCGTCGCCACCAGGCAGGGGTAACAGAACTCCTTAAGGAGAAATCATGCAACACGCAAATTATACAAAACAATCTGATATGGGCATGATTCACAGTCTGGGGGAAAGCTTCCTAATACAGAGAAACATTGTGCTACATATACTGTCTACGCTGGTGCTTAGTAAAGTCCTGTACAGCTGCATAGTAGCTGTGACAATCAACCCAAAAACAAAGTCAAAAAGAGAAGTGAATTCAAAGACTGGAGAATACAACCAAGTAACTACAGTATTTATACCTGAATCCAGTCTGAGTCATATCTACAACTATTGAGTCATAAGACTATGTACTGCATGGAGTGCTGGTCATGGGTTGGAGTAAAACCTTCTGGAGTATATGTCACGCAGCCTCAAATTGATAGAGATATTCCCCCTGGGCCCCTAGTCCAGACTGTGTGATGCTGTGATCTGTGATAAGATAACCCATGCAAAGATAAGATAAGATCGTCGATGATAAGATGAAAAAGTGGTCGAACTATGACATTACCCCTTCTCTAGGGTCGATGTCCTCATCGACTAGGCCAATGGGCGTGAAGATGTTCTCGTAAGGATTGAAGAGCTGTTGTTGGGGATATGGGAGGCACTTGTCTTTGGGTTTGTAGCGGTGAATGAGATAGTCCCAATGTCCAGCTTCGAGTATTGGCAAGAGGCGAATGTGTGTGTCTGGGTTCGATTGTTTTGTCTGCCAGGCTCTCAGGACCTTCTTTGTGTGGGTAAGATGATGTGATGGTTCCCAGGTATTCTCGCTATGCGGCCATCCCTTCCATTTGAGCAAGTACTGCTTTCCTTGACCAACATTCTCTCCTTCACAATTTCTTCAACTTCCCACTCTTCTGCTCCTTCAATCATCTTGGCTACTGGTCTCTTCTCTCGGCGATGGGGGGTGGTTCATGATAGGGTGTCAACAGTGACTTGTTGAACACTGGTGACAACTCTGCTGCCAGCCGTGCATGAGCTAACAAGAATACAGGTCAGCTACTACGCAATAAACAGCAGAAATAATAAAGTGCAAGGGTTCGACTGCTCGGGGACGTATTGGCCAGCAAAAGGAGTTGATTGTCCAGGGGACAGAGTTTCTAAGTGTCAGGGACAATGGCTGGAGTTGAAGGCAAGGTACGAGGCTAAAGCAAAGTGTTTCGAAGGCACGAATTTAAAGGTGGTTGTCAGGGGAACCCCTGCTTTTGTCTGATCATCATGGGATCTCGCATGTGACCGCGCACGTGCCATCTGTCAAGCGTCACATGCTTTGGTCCGGACCTCCCTGCCAAGCACGTCCACATGACACTCTGGCCCGGACCCCCATTGTTCCGACGGGCCGGCTCCCATTGTTCACCCTGATCTGGCTCCTCATTGTTCCCTGGCCCCATTGTCTGGCGCTTCCATTGTGCTTGGTCATCCATTGTTCTGTAGGCTATATATAGTGGGCCCTGACAAGGAGAGTCCCCAACTCGGTTTCTCTTTGGACTCTCCCTTGTCAGGACTCTGAGATCGGGCCTCAAGGTTGCCCTTACAGTGGTCCAAATCTGTCTATTACTGCAAGTAAAGACATACAGGTTTTTATAGACTAAAGATAGGCATATATTGGTGTCTAAATAGTAAGGAAACATGTGGGAGATGGACTGAAGAAAGCTCAGCGTGATATGGAAAGGGATGAGATAGGATGGCCCCGGATGGATGTTGTGGGAGAAAGGGTAAAGTCTGTAAGGGCAACCTCGAGGCCCGATCTCAGAGTCCTGACAAGGGAGAGTCCAAAGAGAAACCGAGTTGGGGACTCTCCTTGTCAGGGCCCACTATATATAGCCTACAGAACAATGGATGACCAAGCACAATGGAAGCGCCAGACAATGGGGCCAGGGGACAATGAGGGGCCGGATCGGGTGTAAGGGCAACTCCTGCCAGCCCGAAGGAAGAGAGCACACAGCACACAACAACCTCACATGAGTCTGAGCACAGAGGGGGATCCTTAGAGAACGGTTCAAGGATCCATGTGCCCAGGTGTCACACTATATAGTCAGCTGTGACAAGTGACTGATGATGATGGGATATCACTGCCATGGAACAATGGCAGATGACAAGTAGATAATGACAAACCCAGATAAGATAGTGAGTGGCTCAGAGGGGCCAGTGACGGCCAGCTCCTGAGACACCAACAGTGGAAGGCCACACTGGAGGAGCCCAGTGGCCAGGCCAGTGCCGGGCCAGCCAGTGGAGGCATCGGAGGCGAGGACCAATGCCCGACTGGGAAGAGGGGTGGTGCGGATGAGCGCAAGGCATCTGGTACGAGCCTGTACGGCAGTAGACCACATCCGTGGGGAGAAGGCCGAAGTAGAGGGGGAGGAGTGCGTACGGCAGTAGCACTCCCTGGTGCAAGGAATCGGGCTTGGCTAGACCGCTTGCGGGGATTCGAGGGAGATGGCCAGGGGAAGGAGGAAGAGGGCGGATGTCGGCATGGATGGAGATGAGGATCGGAGGAGGAGGAGGAGGCTGGGTGATCGACAGGTGAGCAGGCACGGGTCGGCAGAGAGGGTGCAGTGGGTCACGTGCATGGTCACGTGCCC